GCGATACATGTCCGAGAGATCCCCATCCCCGGTTCTCCAGACATCAAACTCCTTCGACTTCGGCAGCAAAGTCACCGTCCACCCAGCGGTGATAAACGGACCGAGGAAATTCGCAATAATGACCTCCACCAGCGCAGCGGCATCATCACCGCCCGCTGAGCGAGTCATGACAACATTCGAAGCAATAGTGGTAGGAATGCAAGCCAGGAAGATATACCCGGCCAACAGAGCGCGATCGATATGTTCGTCCGGGTCACCAGCCAAGATAATATGCACGATAGCGAGGATGAAAGCCGGGATAACGAGGAACGATAGACCCTGAACAAGAACATGCAGTCGCCAGTTAAGGAGGTGGATAATAAGCTTTTCTCGAGGCACGCTGAGGCCGGAGATCAGGAAAATGAGGGCCATTGCGCCATAGAGAATGCTATACTCGGAGCGGATGATGCCGCCGCTCTTGGCGACGTTGGGGAAATAGTAGGCCAAGACGCAGGCGACTCCGATGCCGATGAGGAGCCATTGGTGGAGGATAAAGAGGGCGATGGTCTTGAGAGTTCGTGTTATGCCCCTGGTGGGTGTGGGGTCATGGTTGGATATGGACATTGCTGCTGCTGCTGCTGCTGCTCAGCTCATACGGCATGTATGTCGGGAATAAGAAATTTTCATATCTTGGCTTCAAAGTTAGAAAAAGCGATCCCAAATCTCCAAAAGAATAAACCTAATCAAGAAATTCCACATACCAACATTGTCGCGTGGTGGAATGTTGAAAAAGAAGAGTAAAAAAAAGAAGACTCGGATCATGTCCGAGCTGGGGGGCTGATAAACTGATAGGCTGAACGATTGTCCATTTCATCGGTTGCTTGACGCGATCCGGGGTTGGGACCACAACTATCAATAGTGTGGTGCAGCGTTAAAATACAAAATAAATTAGAAAGAAATGAAAATATTTCTTCAGTATTTATACAATTACTAGCGATAATGAGGAATCACAACATCCAGACTAGCGAGATCGATACATCCTGAAGAGCCCTCGAATCATAGTGGGGTTTTCCATAGGCTTATTGGGATTAAGGATATCGGTTCATCCTTGGCATGGGTTTCCACAGTTGTCGGTCACACTACTATTCGTCTACACCATGATCTATAGAAAATATTTATATATATTTATGATGAGTCTAGTATAGTTGCTATTGGGGTGTATCCGCGCCAGAATATCAACTTATACCTCAGGCTCTATCCAGATAAGGCTGCATATTATGTCCTGCACTCCTACATAGTCACAAATCCAAGACTCAAATCGGAGAAGATTGGATTCCATGTCTCTCGTACAGGTGGTATATACTACATGAAGTGTCACACTATGTGACCAAGCCCTTTCTACTCCGATACTGCACGTACAGATCTCTCCGATGGACAAACCCACACCACCATCAACAGGCATGGCTGGAATAACAAGACAAGACATAAGAGGGACTATACAGAAACACTATACAGGAAGACCCTCTGCACCAGAGTAAATAGAGCGATGAATAATCAAAACAGCAGAGATCATATGCTAGCTAGTTAACTAAAAGTAACAATCTACTGACTAAACCGTCCAGTTATACTTTGACATGTGAAGATCTGGGGGATCGATCGCTTTCCCTTGTTTTTAGTATTTTACCTTATCGGTTTATCCCCTCTTTTTCTTTATCAGTTTTTTACATTTCTGATCATTTATTTTCGTCTGTTTTGGGACATGTCATGTCAGGAATACATATCTCCTCGCAGTTCAAGACTTATGTTCTGCTTTTCATAGGGTATTTTCTCTTAATAATCTTATTATGTATGTTCGGAAGAATGACCTCCGATGGGCGTGGGTAAATCATGAACCGTGGGGTAAACCTTCAGGAGAGGGGAACATGCATACCCCGTGACTTGCAAAAAAAGGAAGCAACAAAGTGGTAATATACTAGCTGGAAAGGGGAAAATCCCAGGGGGTCACAAAATTAGAGGCATAGTTCTATCTTTTGTTTTTCCTTTTATCATATTCAGACTGTAATTATTATCCATCCCACACAGGATGAACATTTCCTTGCTATTCACAATTGTCGGCACCGGCGGACGGAGAAAGGACCTCGGCTGAAGAACGACCCCAGGCTTGGCCCGGAATTACCCGTGGAAATTATAGGACTGGTGCACCAACTTCCTATCCCCCACACTTTAGGGTCACGGTCTTGTCTCGGGGGTAAAGAAGGCCATGTCACAAGCTAAGGCTTTCTATGTAGGTGAGTAGGTAGCTACTGCTGCTTACGACTGGCAGATGACGACGATATGCTGGAAACCAAGCCATTAAGGAACTCTCCAGCATGTGAAGAGTCCGGTCTTACCTGACATTTGGGAACCATGATCTTTGGTTCCGGCTTACCATTGGCACTCTGAGTTCACTTTTGGCCACGCCACCTTTGGGCCACAAGGACTGGAAGTGCCAATCTGCGCGCCGTTATTCGGAATGACTTTGTGCAGCTCCCGATGCCTCGGGGTGAGGTAGAATAAGTTCAGTAGACACGAGCAGCTTAACCACCACCGGGGAGATGGCAGCCGTAAGGGTATAAGTGATGGGATGTCCCCCACGTTAAGGGAGTTTGTAAATCGTGGAGAGTCCAGAATCCAATCACTTGACTAGTTTCTTTTCCTTCCGTTGACCCTGTCCTAAGTTAATACTCGAGGCGTTCGGTTGTTGGTCTACTGTGCGAAGACGGCGGCATTGCTTCCGCTCGTCCAGAGAAGCTTCCTCCGCTTCCCCGTCATAGCTCCCTCCACGCCCGGTACGCCTGGGCTAAAATCAATCCAAAGCGACAGCAAAAGCCGCCACTGGAGCCGAGCCCGTCTGAGATCCTCATTGCCGAGAACGGCCTTGCGAATGTTTGGGATCTTCCAGCTAAGCCGCTAATCAAGTGACTCCCTCACTCGCCGATTTAAATACCCTGGGTGGGTAGAGCCGAGGGACGTAGTTATACTTCCGTATCTCCCCGTATTTTTGGGCCTTCCTGTGAACCTCCGAGATCGTCCCCGTCCTTTCTTTTAATTAAAAAAATAATAAAGATCCCTGGACTCCGGATCGCTGGCGATTCACTCTTGATCTTTCTCTCCTCTTTTTCCCCCTTTTGTCAAAGCACTTTCGCTGCAAGCGATCGACTAGAAGCTCAATCCACTGCGTTGCCGGCTATAGCTCTTGCAGAAGAGCTTGTTACCAATTGACGGAGACAACAGCATCTCTGCAAAAAATATCAATTGTGCACAATGTCCGCAAAAACTGTACAGGGCCGCAATGGCAAGAAGCCAGCCTCCCCGGCTGTGAACCTCATCGGTAAGCAAACCCTCCCGGCGCATTGACTGAGTACTGTACTAACTTGCGATTCAGCTGGTGGTGGTGCCGGTATGATGGAAGCGCTCGTGTGTCACCCTCTCGGTATGTGCTAGAATAAGTCAATTGACTGTCTTGGGTGAGAACTCCACTGACAGTATATGCCAGACACCATCAAAGTTCGGATGCAGCTCTCCCGCCGGGCCCGCGCACCGGGTGTAAGTGAACACCATGTGTGAAGCATTGAGCCACAGTTAACGGATTTATAGGTAAAACCCCGTGGGTTCGTTGCCACCGGTGTTGAGATCGTGAAGAAGGAGACTGCCATGGGTCTGTACAAGGGTCTGGGTGCCGTCCTTGGTGGTATCATCCCTAAGATGGCAATTCGGTTCACCTCCTACGAATCATACAAGCAAATGCTTGCTGATAAGGAGACCGGTGCCGTGACCAGCAAAGCCACTTTCCTGGGTAAGTCGCGATCCATAGCCCTTTCCCAGTGAGGCATGGAGGCTAACAGGGCTCCTTCTATTTAGCTGGTCTTGCTGCTGGTGTGACCGAAGCCGTGGCAGTGGTCAATCCTATGGAGGTTGTCAAGATTCGTTTGCAAGCACAACATCACAGTTTGGCGGACCCTCTCGATGCCCCCAAGTACCGCAGCGCACCACATGCGCTTTTCACCGTGATCAAGGAAGAGGGATTCAGCACCCTGTACCGCGGTGTCTCCCTGACTGCCCTTCGTCAAGGAACCAACCAAGCGGCCAACTTCACAGCCTACACTGAATTGAAGGCTTTCCTCCAGAGAGTTCAGCCCGAGTACAGCAACACCCAGCTTCCTTCCTACCAGACAACATTCATCGGTCTGATCTCCGGTGCTGTCGGACCTTTCTCCAACGCCCCGATCGACACGATCAAGACGAGACTGCAGAAGACCCGCGCTGAGCCCGGTCAGTCAGCCGTATCACGTATCATGGTCATCGCGAAGGACATGTTCAAGCAAGAGGGTGCTCGCGCCTTCTACAAGGGTATCACGCCCCGTGTGATGAGAGTGGCACCTGGTCAGGCCGTCACTTTCACCGTGTATGAGTTCCTGAAGGGCAAGCTGGAGACCTCCGGGTGGGCTTTCGTTGGTGGAAACTATGAAGAGTAAGTGGCTCCCATTGAAGGGATGGCCACTGTATGTTCTCGAAAGCATTTGATACCATGAGCATGGTGGCGTTTTCGATCGCTGAGTTATCAGTATTCTCCTGTTTATATGTTTGGGGGTATTGGAGAGCCGCCAGGCGAGATCCACGTGGAGTGGATTGTATATATTATATCCTTTTTCCTTGTTCATTTCCTATGTTAGCATACCTCCGTTCTTGGATAGAGTCAAATAAACCATTCAGAGAAATTCAGTGAATTCCGAGGGCGTAGTATAGAGTAGAAGTAGATACAAAACTTCCCACGTAGATAAGAAGGGGGCCGATCGCCCGGGGGCAGCAAACTACAGCAAACTGAGCCCCGCTAGAAGCAAGACACACCGCTTCTGCCCTTCCCCTCCGTCTGTCTCCCCGAAACAACCTTCCAGATAAACCCCTCGACTGCAGCAAGTAGACCGGCCGAGAAGTTGCATAATCCGAAACGGCCAGGAGCTACAGCTGGACCTTTATTCACGATGCAGTCCGGAATCTCAGGTACATATCTACATTTCTCGTTCCCCTCGTCTTCCCCTTGTTCCTGACGATTACGACATCCCGCAACCGATCCCCTCGGACATGCCACCTTACAAATCCAAGTTACGCTCAACTCCAGCATTCTTTGCTAACTATACATAATAGTCTCTGATGAGCTTCACGAAGCCTTCAGGAACTTCGTCTCCGATGAATCCATCTTCTGCCTTCCCGTAACAATCAAGTCGGAAAGCCTGTCGCCCCTTTCCCCGGTTCCTTTCGCCTCTCCGAACGCCTTCTACCCGTCTCTTTCTCAGCTCTCATCCGTCCTTGAACCCAAGACTCCTCTTTACCTCCTCATTCGTCGCCCTGAGGGTGGTTCATCCTCCCTCGTGGCTTTGACCTACATTCCTTCCAATGCTGGCGTGCGCGCTAAGACTCTCTTCGCCGCAACCCGCGCCACCTTGGCTAGGGAACTGGGAACGGAGAAGTTCGCTTCGACCATCTTCGCTACGGATGAAGATGAGGTCATTGGCGAGGAGGCATGGAAGGAGCGGGATGCAGAGAAGAAGGGCACCGCGGGCGGTTTCCGACGGGAGGATCTGATGGGCGAGAAGGAGCGGGAGTTGGAGGCTGTGCGAAGAGCCGAAGAGGAGGCTCGCAGCGGCACTCCGAGCAGAGATATTGGTATTGGTGGCACGTTCAAAAGGGGAAACCCATTCGGTGGTGCATCCGTCAAGATGCACGTGGATGACGAGGTTAAGCAGGCCCTCGAAGGGTTACAGCAGGGTGGCCTGGTTCAGCTGGTACGTGTCTTCATGATCCTGCGATCAATGCATCTGGGTTAAGTGTCTTTCATTTGGAATTCTAACTTCGCTTTGTCTAAATACAGGCCATTGATGTCCCCACGGAGGCGATCAAGGTTGCTGCCGTTGAGTCCGGAGTGGAAGCAAACTCCGTCCAGTCACACATCTCTTCATCTTCTCCCCGGTACACTCTTTACCACTACCCCGACTCTGACGTGGTGATCTTCATCTATACCTGCCCCTCGGGTTCCTCGATCAAGGAGCGTATGCTGTATGCCAGCTCCCGGATGCATGCAATCACTATGGCTGGCGATCAGGGCCTGAAGATTTCAAAGAAGGTAAGAGCTGAGTTCAAACGCTCAATTGATTGAAGAGACTCCCTAACACAGCACGCAGATCGAGGCATCCTCGCCCGATGAGATCACGGGCGAAAGGTTGCATGAAGAAGTCCACCCCCCACAGGATAACGGACCGAGCCGGGGATTTGCGAGACCGAGACGTCCGGGTCGGTAAATCTCCGTGCGTGGGTAGATGACTCGTAATTTCTTGTATATCCCGCTCTATGATCCGCGATAGTATATAGCCCCGGGCACCTGTGACCGAAACACCGCCGGTACCAATCTCCTCTCTCTTCTGTAGCTGTAGCTGTCTCACTCTCAACAACCGTTTATATTCGCCCAAGCCACCCCAATAAGTCTGCAGAGCTCCCTAAGACCAGGAGCATACGATGCAGAGAGCAGACGTTCTTGCCCAAGAGCCCAGACGCGTGGCGAATAAGGAAAAACAACACCCAGCCCGCATCAATGATTTCGAAAACTTTTCTTTTGGTAGAATAAATCCGTCCTCGAACTTCCCAAGTTTATAATCTTCGGGCAACCGTCTCGATCCTTTTCGAGTCGCGTGCACTCAAAGCAATAGAAGGCATCACTGATTCCCTCTCCACCACATACGATGCACTTGTTCTGGTAGTTTCCGAAGGAGCACTCGTCGCAAATGCGGACCAGGGTCGTGGGACGCACGTAGGAGTCGCACACGGGACATTTGCCGTCACACTTATCGCACAAGCGGCCGATAGAGATACCGGGCTGCTTGCGGCACATGACGAGATCGGGGTGATGGCGAGACATGGTGGGATTATGAGATTAGTAGCTCTTTTGTGAAGGTAGGAGAGACGTGACGAGTCGTGAAGAATGAGGAAATAACGAGACAAATATCAGATCCGCTGTCGAAGAAAGCTGCAGTTATTACCAGCAGTTACCGCTTCGTAATTAATATAATATGATATGTCAGCAGCGAGACAGTGGAAGGCAATCGAAGAAGTCTGGGTCGGGGAGACAGAAGAGAGAGGCAGAGTGGGAGGGAGATGGAACTGGAACTGGAAGAAACGCTCTTTCGGGGCGGTCTGGTGGTCCGTGCATGGGCCGTTGGAGTCCCGCCGCGCCGGGCATATCGCGATACCGAAACGAAGGTTTGATTGAGAGAAAGCTGCAAATGAATACCCGGTGACTTCTGTCTGGCTGTTTTCGCGGAATGTTTTGATTCGAGTTGTTCGATACCAAGTGTCTGTTCTTCTAATCCTACAAAAGCATTTTTGTTTTCATCTGATTGATTGATTCTCTTTTGCTTCTTTCCTCACCTCTCACGGCTTCTCCTCCCTGCCAGATATGACTGAAGGGTATATAATATTTCGCTGCCTACCCTGACTACTTTTCTTAACGAGAAACATCCCTGCTAACATGGGCCATTTGCATGGATATACAGAACTCTCGCGTCGGCCGTCGCCCTCCCCGACCAGGACACTACTACAATCCCGTCCCCAGAAGCAGGGCTAAAGCGGCGGCAGTCGTCAATCACGGATCCTGATTCGGAGAACAAACGCCGTCGTCTTAGCTCACAAACGGACCATCACGATGATACCCAGTCTATTTCGGATCGCAAACAGGCCTCACCGGATGTAACAGAACGGAAACCGCGGCGTGGCGCAGGACGGGATGAGGAGCGCAAACGCGGCCAACGACTATTCGGTGCTCTGCTGGGGACACTTTCGCAGAGCTCGACCTCGGCGGCCCAAAAGCGACGTGCGGATATTGAGCGACGACAACAGGATAAGTTGAAGTTGCAGGATAAGGAGTATGGGGAGCTGAAGAAGAAGAGGCGGGAGGAACGGGCGGTGATTCGGAAGAAGGAGCAGAGGTTCTACGAGGAGGAATCGGTGAGTTTGGAAATTCCGTGTTTCCGGGGGATGATGAAGATGATGATTTGCTGGGTTTCTGGTTTGCTGCTCGGTTTATGTCGTGCAGGCGCTGATGGATGGATGTCTCAGATGCGCACGCGCCACTCGAATATGATTGCGATGGCTCATTTCCTTAAGACGAGGACGGAGCCGGTATTAGTATGTTTCCCAACCTTACGGTTTTGTGGCGTCGGGGCTTGAGTTTGGGTGGTTCTGACTATTCTTTCTGCAGTACTACAAGCCGTGGCAGCTAAGGGCGGAGGATGAGGATATAATACAGGACCAAATTAAGGAGGCGGAAGCTACTGTCGCAAGAGAAGTGGCGGAGTTCGAAGCACGCTATTCGTCCCACGAGGAGAAGAACCCCGAGCAGCAGGAGGAGAAGATGCAGGAGACTGAGCTTGAAGAGACCCAAGAACCAGCCTCGGTGTCTGAAACGGACGCCATGGAGAATAAGAGTGTCGCTCAAGCGTCTTCGGTGACTATGGGAGCTGAGACAACAGCCGATGGAGGCTCCGAAGAAGCCAAAGCCGAGACCACACCTGCTAATGACAGCAATGTATCTACTAGTATGGACCATGACCGCTCGGATATCCATCGACACGATGATGATGGCGGTGAAGTGGAGGAGGACCAAGAAGATACGGTGATCTATTAGCAGCAGAAGCGGTGACACCCTTTCTCATTTTTCTTCTTATTTAATTTCACCATATTCTATCACATTGAGTAGCGAATTGCACTGTCGACCGGAGGTTGAAGGCAAGTCTATGCTTCTCCTCCTTCATGTACATTATTAGTGTCTGCATCGAGTAAGAACCGAGGCATTTCGGCGGGAAGGCCGGCGAGTTCCCCCATCGGCTGGCTGAACACAAACAATTCGGCGGTCACCAATCAACCAGGGCGAAACTACTGCCAGGAAAACAGGTTATGTGTACCGGAAATGCCATATTACTCGTGCCCAATGGACTCTGTCGCCTCATTTCCTGTAGTTAGTCTTATATTAATCGATCAATAGCTCCGGTTGCACGTGACGGGACAGCTGGCGGGGGTCTCCATAGGGTACCATTTATAGATCCTGGGAAAGTCGGTATAGCAGCATGCAACTTGCCTAAACACTTCTTTCATTCATCTGAATCTCTTCCTGCAGTAGACATCCTTGTCAGTACTTGAACATTACAGCTTCCATCCAACGTTGTTCCGTCATGACCGTGGACAAGATCGATGTAACCGGCGACCCGAGGGTCGAGCGCCGCTCGGCAAACGTCAATGGCAAGACATACGGTATGTAGGAGATGCAGCACATTTGATGCAATTCAGGGGACGGGTATTCTGCAGACTCAATTATTCCTCAAATCATGCATTATTTACTATAACCATGCAGCACAGCTGGCCACCTATACTATTCATCTAGTCCTAGAGACACTAGAAGCTGTAACACATGATCGCTGATATATATCGCAGGCTACCTCTACAGCGAGCCCGAATCGGGGGTTTATCGGGCAACAATCTTCCTCGTGCGTGATGCCATCCCAATCAAGAGTGACTAGTGATATCTATCACAAATGTAATTCAAGCCAAGCAAGACGATCTAACTATCAATATGCTGCGTACAGCTCCATGGCTTCCCCGACCTATCCATGGGATGGCGCTACCAAATCCCCATGTTGATTTCCATGGGTCTGCGAGTCGTCGCGCCAGATTGTCTAGGATACGGCCGAACAGTACGTGCCATCATCTCCATCAAAAACAAGAATATCTTCAATTCTAACGAAAAGAATAGGACGCACCCGAAGAAATAGAACTATATTCGCACAAAAGCTGCGCCAACGACATCAAAGAACTCGCAATCCAACTAGACGCACCCGAGATCATCCTCGGCGGACATGACTGGTAAGCACTCACCTCCACCTTGATATCCAAACAAACTATTCCACACTATAACAGCAAACAAACAAATAAACTAAACACTAAAACCAACAGGGGCGCCGCCCTCGCCTACCGCGTCGCGCTCTGGCACCCAGAGCTCGTAACGCACATCTTCACAGTCTGCGTGCCGTACGCAGCGCCAACACGCAAATACCTCGCGCTAGAAGACATGGTAGAGAACATTGCGCCGCATTTCGCCTACCAGTTGCAATTCCGGAGCGGGAATCTCGAAGATGTCATCTTCAGCAAGGAAGATATCGAGAAGTTCTTGTCGGCGCTGTATGGCGGTCGGACGGATGAGAGGGATGTGGCGTTTGATGCCGAGTATGGGGTTTTGTTGGATCGTATGGAACTTGTTAGGCCGTCGCCTTTGTTGAGTGAAGTGGTGAGTTGTCCTTTCTTACCTCCCATAAAAAGAGAACGTTGACATGCTAATGTGGATGACATCCAGGAACTGGAATACTATGCGAATGAATTCTCGCGGAATGGGCTGAGAGGGCCGTGTATGTTCCATCCATCCCTATTCCCATTACTGCCCAATCCCTAGTGTTAAGGGGGAAAAATACTAATAAACGCACAGTAAACTGGTACCGCACACGAGAGATAAACTACGAAGAAGAGCTCGCCATCTTGAACGCACGCATCACAGCCCCATTACTATTCATCCAAGCGCTCAAGGACTCCGCGCTGCCGCCGCATCTAGGAAAAGGAATGACAAGGACAGTCCCGCATCTGACGTACAAACAGGTGAACACGTCGCATTGGGCGCTGTGGCAGGAGCCGGAGGAGGTGAATGAGATTATTGCGTGGTGGTTGAAGGAGGTGGTGTTTAAGAGTTTGAGAATGTCGAGGTTGTGAGGTTTGATTCTGATGGGGGTGGTATGTATGGGTAGTTCTCGAGTGTAGTACTTTTCTGTACGCATATCTTGCTTGATTGGTTGATTGTATTCTTGGGTCTGTTTTGGGATTATCCGCTGGGCGGGATCATTTGAGAATTGTTTGGGATTCACAGGTTATTGAAAATGGGTTTCCAGTACTACTAGGATAAAGTCATTTATATAAATAACATGGAGGTCGGCATATGAGAGCTGTTCGAACGAGCCGTGGGGAAGTTCACTGGCAAGTAATATTATAAACAACCAAGTAAATATATCTATAAACAACCAAATCAAGTCATAAGTAGCTATATAACAATTCTTGTTGAGAGTTCGTCAATTGGATAAGGCTACAAGAAAATCAATTATCAACGATCTGGGTCTCAATATGACACCCGACCTTGTCCCAGCGATCAATAAACTCCTGACCCAAAGTAGCAGTAGTGACGATACCGCAACGAGACACCTTCTTCACCTTCTCCTCATTCTCAAGAATCGTCATGGCCGCCTCAGCCAGACTCAGCCCAGTAAACTCGTACATAGTACCCTGGTATCTCAACTTGCCCAGCACGCGCTGAGGCGTGGGGGTATCCTGGTCAGCAGTCGCGACGGCGCGGTACTCGACGAAGTCGTTGACGGAATCCTCGAGGGTAGGACCAGTACCCGGAGTGTAGATGTATTTCCTGACGAGGGTGCGAACCGGAGGCAGGAGTAGAGCTGTAATAGCGAACAGGAACGTATAGTGCCAGAGGATTCCGGTGAAGGCGTTCCTGGCGCGGAGGAATTGTCTGAAGTAGAACCGGGGTCCGTAGAACTCTGGCATCAGGGTACTGCTGCGGTGGACGGTTGTGGTATCTGCTAGGCCTGATGGAGAGGTGGTCAAGATGCCCATGTCGCGGACGGATCGGATACCGAGGAGCCTCGCCCATAGCGGCTCACGGGGGATATCTTTCGGAGGGGCCGATGCGGCCAGCGCAAAGGGGGTGGAGATTTTGCGCATTTCGGAAGGTGGCACATTCTCGAAGAAAGTGAGAACTGTAGAGAGAGTGCCGCCGCTTGCTCCGGAGGATCTGCGAGGGTTGGTGTTAGGTATTGGATGGTCCATTGGGGTAGGTGGTGTCTCTCACTTGATCTCGTGGATGTCACCGGTGATTGATCTGGTGTGGCAGGATAGATCTTCGCGGACTCGCTTCACTGTAGCCCAGGCGAGCAAGTCTGCAGGTGCGCTTTCGATGCCAACGCAAGGGATAATCTGATTGATAGTTAGGTTGTTGTCGTATTGCGGAGTCATGAGGGTAAGGTACATACAACAGCACCATTCGCTTTGGCAGTTTCGTGGTATTCGTCGATGATCTCCTTGACCCAGTGTGTCTCTCCGGTACTGCTTCGGTTAGCTATGCATTGGTGGACTGGTTATATGGCGGCAAACTGACGCATCGACATAGTGAGTTCCGTTGCTGGCACAAGCTTCAATCACGGGCGTGGAGTATAGACAGTAGGGACCCACGCAGTTTATGATAACTCGCGTCTTTTGGACCAACGGGTGCAACTCCTCACGGTTGAGTTGCACGGCGAGGAGGTCTACAAGCAAGTCAACGGTGTGTTCAGCCAACAGACATGTAGTATCAAGTACCTGGCTCGGCACGATCCGGGTTCACATTCTTCAGCTCTTTGGCGATATACTCCAATTTGCTGAGAGAACGACCAGCCAGAGCCCACTTCAGGTTGGTGGGAAAGTTCTTGACAATGTGGTCAGCACAGAAGCGTCCTGTATAGCCCGTGGGCCCCAGGACGATCAGATCATATTGCTTGTTGGATTCCATTTGTTTGTGAGGCTTGGTCGGCTATATCGATTTGTGATATACGAAGGAGATGCTGGATAGCAGATACAGATAGGATACAAGCACTATGCAAATTATTTGACCGCCAGGGATGAATCTAGGGGGGATTCCTGAATGCCACCCAGCCATGACGGCGTTGCTGAACAGCGGTCCTGGGCTAACCCGATGTGAAGAAACCTCCGATGAGAGGACCGAGGCATGTGGTTATGCTTAATGCAGTAATGGGATGAGGGGACATTGTGTAGTTCATTGTAGCCGTCTCTAGCATATGAAAGGGTTTTACTCGCTTCTGTTCAGTAATCAAAATCAAGCAAGGGTCCTAAGAAGCTATACAGATCCTTGTTGCTTACCATGAGGTAACTATTGCCGACTAGTTACAAAGTGGTTAGTAAACTAATTAATTAGTTGTGTTATGCTGTGTCGCATTACATAAGCTTCCGTTTGTGTACACACGTGCGTGGGGGGCTGCTGGTTCGAGATAGATTCGCACAGTACGGCTCAAAATGACGAACATGACTATGGTCAAAGAAATAGGGGGAGTTAAAGAAATTACAAAGCTCTCTAGAGATTTAATCATATAGTTTTCCACATTATAAACAGTATGCTGCCACTAGAGTAGCCAAGTGAATACATCATAGGGAGCATCTGCATTTGAAGGGGTACACGTGACCAAAGTTCCAGCCCTAAGCGAGCCCGCCCACAACCATTCCCGCCCGAGTAGAAAGCCTCAGTCTCGATTTCGTCTTACCGCACTGTTATCATCTTCGACCTCAACAGCCGCACAGAGACAAGATGACGAAGCGCACCAAGAGTATGTGCCCCTCTTGAACCCCTACAGAAAGACCGATGAGGTTTTGAATTTATGAACGACGAATCGCGAGACTAACACTTATTGCAGAGGTCGGTATCACGGGTAAATATGGTACCAGGTATGCAGCCACGCTTTTCCACCACGGAGTCTTGAAATCGGGATGAAGTCGATCGAGTTTTTATTTTCCGGAAATCGAAGACGACAGATTCAACCTCGAATTTTGCGATACAGAAGAATCGATATTGACGATGGTTTGATAACAGATACGGTGCCTCCCTGCGTAAGCAGGTGAAGAAGATGGAAGTGTCCCAGCACGCCCGTTACATCTGCACCTTCTGCGGAAAGAACACCGTCAAGCGCAAGGCTGTTGGTATCTGGGAGTGCAAGGGTTGCAACAAGACCGTCGCCGGTGGTGCCTACACCGTCTCGTAAGTACCAACTCTACTGTTGCCGCTGCTGCTTTGGATAAGCTGCGTCTTGGGTCCAGTGCAATCTCCATCTACTTGGACTGGACCCTTGAGAAGCGGGCATGACATGGATGCTAATCGCTCGGATTGTGTTACAGTACCCCCGCCGCCGCCGCCACCCGCTCCACCATCCGTCGTCTCAGAGAAATCGCGGAGGTTTAAATGTGATAATGGGATTACTTTTTTCTATTACGTTTAAATCAAAAAATGAGAAAATGAGATCTGGAGAATTTCAATGAGCGAATGTCTCTTTCCACGAAGCCCGCTAGTTCGATGTTGGTAACGCCAACTGCTGTCGTTTGCACAAGGATTTTTCTTCACCAATAGATTTAAATACCATCGGTGATTCCAGACCTTTCACCCAGTTCCATCGAACCAATTAGTCGATTTACCGGATTTATCGGATGAACCTTTTCGTACTACCACTCTTGTTCTGCACTTGGAAACAACGGAGCAACTTGTGATTGTGCCATGCCATCTGATGGACTTGTTTGTGGTAGCATGTGAGTATCTCAACAGGGGATGTTGGGTTCAGGTTGATGGATGTCCACTCGATAATTTTGAGTTGAGTGTGTAGGGAGACACCGCCAACCACCGCATTTCCGCAAGGATGTAGAGGAGAACGCCCCCCTCGTGCATTTATCGACATGCATGCATACTATCCATATGTGCCAAATGTGGTCATCCTTTCGCTTGATCAACCATATAGAGTTCTATCCGTAGCTTGTTCGGACAGGTTGCTCAAGACGGTCGCAAACCTTAAAGAAATGTGTTCACTACGTATCTGTTCCTTTTCTTTGGTTATTTTCGTTTTCTCGAACTACCACTAGGGACGGACCGTTGTGTCAGCTAAATATATCAAGTTAACTAATTATTCGTCATTGTTTAGGCAGATAAGAAAAGGTCATTCGGGAATTCGCACTACTATACACTAACCACTAAATACTCATGGAGGGGGGGAAGATCAGGGTCACACCGACCCGTGGACTTTTCTACTAGCTTTTTCAGGGAAGAGAAAGAAAGACAGTCAATTACTAAAGCAGAGGGAGGGAACCAACTAACTAGGAAGAAAGAGGCTTGCTGAGACTAGAGATGCAAAGGTACTCAGCTGGTGCTGCAAGGGCAAGGCATTTTTCTCATTCATCATTCAAAAAAGAGAGCGCGCGGGTGACTAAGGCCAGGCGACGATATTCAATGAAGATCATTGGCTGGACCAGAGCCGGTCACGTTGGAGGCCAGACTGCATTGCGTTAGGCTGGATTTCAGGTCCACCTTCAAAAGGCCGGTTGCTTTCTCCCCACATCACTCGACCTGCTCTCTCTCCCCTTCTCCTTCCCACTCCCTCTGCCTTCCTGTCCCTTCTGCCGGTTGCTCTTCATGCCTTCTCTCAGCGTCTCTGCAGACAATTGTGGCACATCACCTTCTGTTAATGTCCGACACCTGTATTGTGTGCTTAGGAGACCTTGGCGAAAGCGCCAGCGATCCTCTTGCCGTCGCCGCCGAAGCCGCGCCAAGACTTGACCTCGGGGCAGAGGGCAAGTCGGCGGATACCTCTCTCAACAACCATGATGGCGTAGATGGCACAGAGGACTCGGGTCAGATCGCTCAGCTCCTCCCTTGCGGGCATATCCTGCACAATAACTGTCTGAAGCCCTGGGTGGAGCGAGCCAACAGCTGTCCGATATGTCGTCGGAGTTTCAATATGGTCGAACTAAGTGACCGCCCTGGTGGTAAGTACTTGATAAGTCCCTTTTCTATTGACCTACCTACAATGGTCATGGATAGTCTTTACTTCTTTCTTGTTTGTTATGTGTATCTCAGTTAACTGATCTGTGGCTTCCCTTTAGGTCCCGTCACATCCTCTTATGCCGTGCAGGATCGAGTTCAGCAAGCAGAAGTCGACCCCTCGATGATCATTGAATATATAGATGATGATTTTGCCGATTTTCAACCTTGTCCAATCTGTGGGGATGCGGACAATGAAGAACTGCTTCTCCTCTGTGATGGCTGTGATGTCCCCTCTCACACATATTGTGTTGGCCTCGATTCCGTCCCGACGGGTCCCTGGTACTGCGCACGGTGTGTGACGCAACGTCGCCTCGGGCGATCTCCTGAGACTGCCGACTGGTCTTCCCAGTCACAAGACAGGCGTGGTCGTCGCACAAGAGCACAGCGACGCAGACTGCAGAGCAGGAACCAGCTCAATTCGCTGCACTGGGCTCGCGTGTGGCAATCTGTCTGGGATCATCTGAATCTCGACTTGGACTTTCCGTTCGATGATGACATGGCTGCGGAGCGCGCTCGACAAGAGCAGCGCAGGGAAGAAGCCCATCAGCGTGATTTCCGAGCCTGGCAACGTCGCTTTGAAGTTGCCGAACAGCAGGGTGGTGGCAATCGGTTCCGAGACACTGCCGCTCTACTGGATATCGAGGCGCCTCGCCCGTCGCGGCCTCGCGTTCCTCGTGAGCCCACTCCAGAGCCCGAGTCCCTTGAAGAGATGAGGGCCTGGAATGCTTTCGAGCGTGCCCGCGAAATAGAGAATGACCCAAGCGCGGCCCGGAAACGTAAAGAACCTACGTTGTCGCCATCCCCCGAACCTACCGAACCTGAACGCAAGTTGAAGCGGCCCCGAACACGAAGGGCCGAAGACCTGGCAGCTCGGGCGATGCAGAATGGTGAATCATCGAGAGCTGCTAGTGCGCATGCCACCGCTCGGATCAATGCCGAGAGTTCGAGCGAACCGAGTTTCCTTCAATCCCTCCTAAAGGAGGTGGAGGAATCGTCCAACCCGAACGGGGTCACTTCCCATGGCGCCTCCGGTCAATCATCCATTGCGCCCACCGATCATACGACCCCAGGCCCCTCGTCGCCTTCTATTTCGCCTGCCCCATCTAACCATTCTTCCCCGCGTCTGTCTTCCGTCACACCGCCTCCAACCCTCCGAAGCAGGCCCATGTCTCCACTACAACTGGGGTCACCAGCAGACCCGTCCTCTCCACCTTTTTCGCCAGATGTGTCGCCGGTTGGTTCTGCTCGCAGTGCCCAAGACGATCACTCGTCGCAAGTCCCCACTCGCCGCCCAAATCGTCGGATACCTCGCTCTGCCACTCGATCAGCGGCTATCCGTTCCGACGACAGCTCTCCCAGTCGTCCCGGCTTATCCCTCAAAGTCAAGTCTGACATACAGAAGCTGGTCGGGTCATCGCTTAAGCCTTACTATCGCTCGAAGACCATCACGAAAGAACAATACACGGAAATCAATCGAAATATATCTCGGAAGCTGTACGAGCGTGCGGGCGACGTTGAAACGCTCGGGATCGGGGCCAAAGCCACGCTGGCTACCGTGGCCAAGGATGAAGTGGAGAAGGCCGTTGATGCGTTGAAGCAACGCCACGACCTCAATGACTCTGTTGATGAAAGCTCTTGATACTTGAATAGCGTCTTGCATTTCCCGGCGTTTTGCAGCGATTAATCTGATTCCTGTGGGAGGATAAGGGAACCCGGCGTTTGTTTTTCAAGTGACAACTCCCGTTTGGCCGGAACTTGCACGGGAGGGTTGGATACCCATTGAGAAATATACTGGCCGGCTGGGTGGCGTATGTTGTCCACCGCATACTGTAGCATTGCCTTGCATTTATTATATACCTGAGTGATATACTATGTCATTTTGCTGGCCGTCCAGATCCTAGACGGCCAGCGTGGGCAGTACATGCGTCGTTATGATTCTGCGACGTAGCACAGACACAACAATGTAAACTTGGTCCTCGTCCCTCACCGCTCCAATGACAACAAGAAACCACTGAAACCCAATCTTTCGATCCTAACAACCCAAACTTGAGACCAACCACCACCTGCTGCATAACCATTCAATCTGTAACATCAGTCCCGCAATGCAGAAAAGTAAACATGAAAGTAGAGTACGTAGTACTATAGATAGTCACCGCCAATTGCAACCGATCGGACTCACCCGCCTAGCATATATCGAGTATCGACTGATCACATACATCACATCCTCCTCTCTGCCTCTTTATCTGCCCTCTCGTTCTCGCTTAAGTATCACGGACAGCCGGATATTCGGCCAGTGTCCTGCATGCATGCACGGGTTCCCAATCAACCACCATAGATCGTTCGGATCGTGGGTTGCCGGAGCAGTTAGCTACTGAGCTATATTGAGTTTTTCGTAAACGGACACTACAACTGTAAATAGATCTGCTAGCTAGCTAGCTAGGCTACGTACGTAGTTACTAACCGGTTCGCATGATCTGGAACTGCCTTGGGAGGTACTCGTTATCTAGCAGTAGCTGGCTAGGTATCAGTGCATGCATGCACGCTTGCATGCTAAAGGCTGGAACTGAGGGCTCGGGGTTTGGTTTCATGATATACTTATTACATACATACTACCACATACATACATACATACTGTACATAGTAGTGTAAGGAAGGGAGAACCGACCAAAAATAGTAAGTAGTAGTCGGATAGAACCTTCCTCCCACCTCCAACTTATGCACTCAGAAACAAGACAAGAGTAAGTAACTTACTAACTAGACAGTTAGTAGTAAACACTAGAGGCACAAAAAAGAAAAAGATGTGCGACACCTCTGGGACTCGAACCCAGGCGAGCGAACCCACAGGCTAAACTGCTAGTACGAAGATGTAGTAGCAGGCCTGCCTTAATCACTCGGCCAAAGTATCTGATTGGAAATATTTCTTATCCCTCATAGTGACATATAACTATAATACTTATTCTCTGAGTAAAGCGAAGATGATCCACATTACTCAAGCTCTTCTCTTTGTTCCATGGTTTCGGGTATTGGCATTATTGATTGCTTAGCTTAGAATGGTTGGGTTCGTTGTTTAAACTATGGTAGATAAGGGTTTTTTTTTCACTGTTTTCTTGTGTGTGTGGTGGATCGGAATAGTTCCGTATGGCCCTGTGTTGTATGTACTAGTAGGTAAATCTTGCCTTGTGGGTTGATTGGTGGATGTTGGAAATTTCTTCAATCATTTGGTGGTAACGGGGTCTGTTTGCTCTGCTCTGCTGCTAATGCGGTTCTCGTCACGGACTATCATGTAGCGGGCGGATAAGTTCTTAGATAATAAACTTTTTGTTTTGTTTGTCAAACTAGTCTGCCTTGTATTTATTCTCCGGCATGAGTTGTCTACGACCACGTTATCTAGTACCAGATAGGAGGTGAGTGTCAGAGACTTGACCTGCTGCAGAGCTGTCACATACTTCTGTCTTGTCTCTCTCATTTTTGCAGGACCCAGTCAGGGCTCCATCCAACAAAGGTCTAGACGTGAAAAGAAGGGAAAGAGAAAGGCAAGAGAAAAAAATTTATGGAGCCCATAGCTATAATCTATGGAACCCCTATCTTTTTCTTCCCATGGTCCCACTACAACACTATTCAAGCCACACAAGCACAAAGTCAGCCTATTTATCTTCAAGTAGATTAGTTCTGGTGATGAGGTTTCAAGTCGCTGGGGGTTAGCACCTGGATTTTTGTCCGTATTAGGTATGGTTTCGGCTTTCGGTCTCAGAAAATGTGCCGCCGTTCCTGGTTCGTATCTCAGCGTGTGGCCCGTGGACAGGCTGAAGTTAAGCGGATGACGAATCACTGCACAAGTTGCAGACGCGCAGATAATAAGTCCTACAGTGGATTGCGTGATATGGCAGACCGATTGCTGTAACTACCACGTGCTGCTATTGCTGACATATCTACTACAGTCTGGCACGAACACATGAAACCGACTGATCTCGTCAACGGTCAGTCTGCGCACGTCCTGAGGACGAAGTGTCGAGAAATGTCGAGATAGGCACGCCAAGCCATCGGGTAGAAGTGGGCACTGGATCCAGTGCTGATATCTAACCTTCTTTATGAATCATTTCGGAGATTCGGAGCCACCGAGGCGCGAGCTGGTGCCCACTTGGCCGCATAGAGCGAAGAGTTTGCATCCCATGGCCCCCAATCTGTTAGTGCTGCCTGAGGGGCTTGTTGTGCAGCCGGGGAAACGCATTATTCATGACGCTTGCGCTATGTCTGGCCTACATATCAGTATGTTCCCAATGAGAATCCTGTAAACACCGGGGACCCTGGTCATCCTTCGGATATAACGGCTCATAACTAAGCCCGGGCATGATGGCATTGCCCTAACTAAGCACAGGATCACATCTGAGGTCAGTCGGGGATCTGTAGGAAGGTGGGTAACCTGATCCTGGGACCTTGGGGTGTTTATGGTCAATATGAACCGGTCCTAGGAGTGGGGTCCCTCGCTGGAGATATTCCGCCTGGCTTAACCCCGTCGGCTTTTCCATGATTAAGACCGGTCTTGATTAATCATTTCTTCATGTCTTGGCTTGAGGAGGCCCACTCAGTGAAGAGGCTTGGATGTCTTTATAATGTCCACCATGGCCCTAGTCTCCCGGCAGGTGTTTTGCGTATCCTGTTCCCCAGTCCCTCTAAACATTTCAATTGGTCTGTGGAGACAGTCTTGTATACTAGATCCGTCTGCATCCAGGGCGGTTTCCTCCATATTGAGAACTGGTCTTTCATCCTTCGCGACCCTTCCATAGCATCAAGATTATTAGCTCTCGTTGGCGCATTTGGGTGAGCGCAGACATATTATTATGAGTGACGTACAGCATACTTCCGGTGCTGCAGCACCGGAATCGAACCTTGCACCTTCGCATCTTGACACAACACACGAAGCGCATCTGCGATCCTCCGACTCGACTCTTAAATCGGAATCCGCCAGTACATCCGGCGACCCAGAAAAAGGCCGCGAAGACGTCATCGACAAGGAGTTGGAGCAAGATGGATATGATATCGAGGCCGGCGCACCTCAACCAGAAATGGAAAAGGCAGCGGAGAAGGAGAAGGATCCCAATTTGGTGGAATGGGACGGTCCAGATGACCCCGAAAATCCCCAGAACATGCCCCGTTGGCGCAAGTGGTTGATCACCATGTCGCTGTCCTTCATGACTACATGGATCACATTCGCCAGTAGTGTCTTCTCGACTGCAACCATTGTGACTGCCGAGGAATTCGGTGTCTCGACTGAGGTTATGATTCTGGCAACCAGTTTGGTGGTTTTCGGATTCGCAGTTGGACCGTTGTTTTGGTCTCCTCTGTCGGAGCTGTATGGACGTAGGCTTCCCTTGTTCTCTGGCTACGCCATCTTCGCCATCTTTCAGATTCCCGTTGCAGTGGCACAGAACGTGGAGACCATCTTGGTCTGCCGATTCCTGATTGGTATCTTTGGCTGCTCGCCCCTGGCGGTGGTGGGTGGTGCTTTGGCCGACTTTTGGGATCCCGTTGATCGTGCGGTTGCTATTTCAGCGTTTGCCAGTGCTACCTTCATTGGACCCGTGCTTGGTAAGTATATATCCCTTGCGGAATGAAAAACATACTGTAGAAGTTATTTGCTGACATGTCTGATACAGGTCCTATTGTCGGAGGTTACCTCACTGACTCGTACCTTGGCTGGCGCTGGACGGCCTGGATTACCTTGATTGCTTCGGGATCCTTTGGCCTGCTGGCCTTCCTTATTGTCCCCGAAACCTATGCGCCGAGGATCCTTCAGAAACGTGCCGCTCGTCTTCGCCGGGAGACTGGGAACGAGGCTCTGCACTCCCTTTTGGACAATGCCCGCCCCACGATGAACGACATCGTGACCAAGTACCTTCTGCGGCCGGTGATGATGCTTTTCCTCGAGCCCATTCTGCTTCTGATCACTCTGTATTTGGCATTGGTATACGGCATCCTCTATCTGTTCTTCGAAGCCTACCCCGTCTCGTTTGAGTCCGTGCGCGGGTGGACGAACGAGGGTATCGCAGGGCTGCCCTTCATTGGCATCTTAGTGGGAGTGCTCTGTGGAGCGGCGTTGATTATCTGGCAGACGAAGACGCGATTTGCTCGGAAGCTGGCCAAACACGGCCGTGTGGTGCCGGAGGAGCGTCTCATTCCGATGATGATTGCGTCGGTGCTGCTGCCTGCCGGTCTGTTCTGGTTCGGTTGGACCTCGCATCCCAGTACCTCCTGGGGCGCTCAGGTCGTGGCTGGTGTTCCCATTGGCATGGGAATCCTGGTGATTTTCATGCAGGGACTTAACTACATCATTGACGTGTACTTGATGTTCGCCAACTCAGCCATCGCCGCCAACACCTTGGTGCGGAGTAGCCTGGGAGGTGCCTTCCCTCTCTTTGCTACGCAAATGTATAACAAGCTGGGAGTAGACTGGGCCTCCAGTCTGCTCGGTTTCATCACGGTCGCCATGATTCCCATTCCCATCCTCTTCTTCTTCTACGGCAAGAAGCTTCGGGCTATGAGCCGGTTCAGTCCGAAGTTGTAAATTGAGTGGACGTGTGAATGAAGAAGGATGAAACAGGAACTGAAAACTTGCATCTTCTCTCATGGATTTCTCATTATGGGTGTGACTCACACAGCATTCTTCACGCATCATCAGCATCAGCATTATGGCGTTGTTCCAGCGGATATAGAACTTGGGATGATTAATGTTTATTGATTGAGGTAGTAATGTGACAATGGGGGATATAGATAACTAGCGATGGCATTTGCATCTGCAGGTGTACTCCATATAAATATACATACAATATTAAAATAATATGATGATGATAGTGATGGTTGCACATACTGGTATATATTAATTGTTATTATTAATGTGTTCATATGGTGGTGAAATCCGGAAAGTGCCAACGGGATGCTTGCCGGCTCTACTTATGATTGGTCAATGCTCACCTCCAGACCGATTGGGAAGCGTGCAGCTTAACCAAGTCAAATCACCAACTGGCTGGGAGGTGAAAAGACAAATCCACCCTGTTTCTTCATCATTGCAAGACATTAAGACATTTCTGACCAGAAGTCCCCTACTGCGTACTGATCAGTAGACAACTACTGGAATAGTAGTAGAAAACTTCCTGAAACAGTACAAAAGCAAAGGAGTCGCGCGACGCGTCCCGAAAGTGGAGGCGGTGGAAAGGCGGTGATTTTCTTGTGGTTCTTTTGGTCTCGCCGGTCGGACTTCCTTTGCTGTGCTGTGCTTTGCTTTGCTTTGCTCTGCTTTGCTTTGCTCGGCCAGTCACTCTCTCCTCCTCCAAGTCCACCGTCTATCGGTTCTCTTCTTCTTCCCCCCAATTTCTCCTCCCACGTGCAGCTTCCTTTCCTCCCTCCCTCCCCCCCTTTTTCGACACACATCATTTACCATTCGAGTTTCTTATCCCATCTCGTCGTCGACTGCTCCCCCTCTTCAACTCCCACCCCCCTCCGATACCGCGCATGGTGTATTGAAGCTCGTTCCAACTCCCTCGGCTTCCCCGCGCTTTGTCCACGATGCCCGCGCGCACTCGTCAGGGCCCCTCCGTCGCCTCGGAGGCCGTGGACCCGGAAGATACATCTGCGGGCCTGCGCCGTCTCAAGTTCAATGAGCCTCTATCCTGGCGCGTCGGGCGGTCCGCCATTCCCATCGCCGATCTGCTGCAACGCTTGCAGACCCTGGCGCAGGAGCTTCGCCGACTGGAGCAGGAGGAAATTGATACGGACTCGCTGAAAAAGGTCTCGCAGGAGCTCGCGTCGGCTCATCTCCTGGCGCACAAGGATCGCGGCGTGAGAGCCTGGGCGGCGTGCTGTATCGTCGATGTCTTGCGTCTCTGTGCGCCCGACGCGCCTTTTACGGGCAATCAACTGAAGGTGCGCGGCCAATTGCCAACCCCTGAAGACGGTCGCACTCGGCCTTTCATCCACCTCTCGTTATTGCTTGCGCGCGATGATCGTGCTGACTGACGTTCGCTCGAAATCTAGGACATTTTTACCTGCATCGTCTCGTCCATCGTCCCCGCGCTCGGGGACCCGTCCAACTCCTACAATGCTCAGCACATCTACGTCTTGAACAGTCTTGCGGAGGTCAAGAGTATCGTGCTGATGACAGATCTGGACCATCCCGATTCATTGATCATCCCTCTATTTACGAGCTGCTTCGACATCGTCTCTGGGTCCTCTAAAACGTCTACGGGGGAGGAGGTCGCCAAGAATGTCGAGTTCGACATGACGCGCCTGCTCGTGACGGTTATTGACGAAACGCCTGTTCTTGCCGCCGATGTGGTCGATGTCATAGTGGCCCAATTCCTGCGCATCGACCCCCGTGCCATGGAGGCGCCGAACAAAAGAGGGAAGAGAGGCGATGCGCCGGTGGATGCGAAACAGGGAACGCTTCTTCTGAAAGACTACCCCCCTGCGTACAATATGGCCAAGGCCATCTGTCAAGCATGCCCGGAGAGGATGACGAGCCACATTAGCCAGTATTTCAACAACGTCATCATTGATGCGTCTGCGGAGGGCGCGAATGGATCCTCGAAGGGCGGCCATCGCAGGCCCAATCTGGACGATTCCGACGAGGAGGGAGAAGACATCAAGGAATTGAGCAAGGCGCACCGCCTCATCCGAGAACTGTGGAGAGCATGCCCCGAGGTCTTGCAGAACGTGGTTCCGCAACTCGAGGCGGAATTGTCAGCGGAGTCGCTGTCCTTGCGTCTCCTGGCTACCCAGACCATTGGTGATCTTACGGCAGGTATCGGGGTTGCTGGACCACCCCCTCCGCCGCCGAT